CTGCCACCCCACCCCAAGTCTCCTCTGTCATGGGGGAACTGCAGATTTAGGGACCCAACAAGCAAGAAACCACTTCCCCAGCCTGCCCTGCATTCCCAGCAACGTGCCGGGAGGGAGGTGAGACTCGCCTGGGTGCCCCCAGCTCCCACCCCTGGGTGTCCCCAGTGGGGATGTACTCACCCCAAACGACGATGCAGAGCGCAGAGGCTGCGAGCCAGCGGAGAGCACCCATCCTTGCCACGCCGGCTCGCCCAGCACCAGCTCTCACCTTTAAGCTGGAGCTGCCGAAACTCAGCGGAGCCAATGCAGAAGCTGGGGCCCTCCCCGGAGGAGGGAAGGAACCGGCATCATGTGGTGCCTTGCAGGGTGCGCGGGGGGCCGGGCACCCTGGGGTGCTCGGCAGGGAGAGCGTGTCTCGGCAGGGTCCCCGCAGAGGGAGATGGAGAAATGCTGGGTGCTGCAGGAGGATGGGAGGTGCAGGATGAGCCCCAAAGAGCTGTGAGCAGAGTGGCAGGGGGGTGCAGAGTGCCCGGATTGAGCAATGGGGTGCTTGGGGCAGTGCGTCCCTCCTTGTGTGAGGGGAGAGCCTCTCTGGGGCTGGGGAGCTCTTCGCCAGGCAGCCCCGACACTGGGGTGATGGGCAGGAGGCAGTGCCCTAGCAGGGGGCCAGGGCTGTGAGCAGCTCGACATTAACAAGCCCGGCCCTGAGACTGGGAGCACTGGGAACCCTTTGCTGGGGGGCTTGAAGGGAAGGAGGGCTGAGCCAGCCAAGGGGCACAGGGAAACATGGGCACCCCACAGCCAGCCCCGAGGGGACAGGCTGAGCCACCCTAGCCCCCAGGTTTCGGCAGGGGGCTGGCAACGGTGCACGTCACCCCTCGCTCACTGCTCAGCCTCTCTGACCATGAGGAGGGAAACTGAGGCACAAGCCAGGCTGAAAGGAAGAGGCAAGGGACCGTTTGCTCCAGCGCCACGGGGAAACCACCCACCTTCCCCCGCAGCCTTACGTGCCTCTGAGGGCTTTGGGGGCTCCCCTGCCCCTCGCTGCCAGGGTTCCAGCCTCCCAGGCAGCAGGGACAGAAATGGGGACGCTCCTGTGGGGGGATTTATATGCCACCGCTCCCATTTCCATCCTGCACACAGGGAGCCCTCTTGGCAAGGCTGCTCCCCCCCCCAAGGGGATGTCCCATGCCAGGCTGTGACCCCCAGGGATGGGGGGGATCATGCCAGCCCTTCTCCCCACGGTTTGCAAGACACACTCCTCCCAACACGCTGCCTGCTCCCAGGGGGATGGGTGTTCAGCGTCTCTGACCCCCCGGGGTCTGCCCTGTGCCCCCTCTGGAGTGGCAGTGCCTGCCCTGCCTTGTGCCGGAGCACCCTGCCAGCACGCAGGCAGCAGGGGGGGGCAGGCAGGGCTGAGCCAGCTCTTTTCAAGGCCAGAAAAGGGGCTGAAACCAGCCAGAAACACCTGGGGCCGCGATTTGGGAAGGGTCCTGGGAGCCCAGGTAGAGCCTGGAGGGGCTCATTGCTCTGCAGGTGACCACTGATGAGCAACCCCTGTCCCTGCTGTGCCTTGTCCCCTCCTAGGGACACCAGCAGGGCTGGCTCCATCCCCAGCAGGGTCTGAATCCCCCCCCACCCCAGCAAGTCCCAGAGAGCCCCGAAAGCCAGGACTAAACCAGAGCTGCGATCCGCACCATCCACAGAATGAGTTGGGGGGTGACAAGGGGAGCATGGCATCAGCCCAGGGGCCATGTCCCCCTCCCGGTGGGGTCCCGGGACCTCCACCAGCCTGACCCCTGCCACCACCATGAGAACAGGAAACACCAGGGCAGGACTCATGCTCACACAGGAAAGAGGTCAGGCTGTGAGGGCTAACCGCAGGGCAAGGAAGAGGAGGAGGAAGGCTCTGGAGGGATGGGGAAGGACCCCCATCCACCGCATGCAACCCTGCCTGACTGCGTGGGGAGATGGGGCGGCTGAGCCGGGATACAGTCAGCTCTGGGCTAGAGCACAACCGCACCCCCCTGCCCTCCCCGCACCCCCTCACCCCCGTTTGAGAGCACAGTCCGTGCCGGAAACTGCGGCGGGGGGGACAACACAAAAATATCACCAGCCCCTCGCTGTCACTGTCCCCTGCGGTGGGAGGGGGGCTGGGGGCTGGGGGGCTGTGCACCATGGGGCCTGGGGCAGGTGCAGAGGGTATTTCCAGCCGGGGGGCTTTCGCCTTGGAGGGATGGCTGCCCCTCTCCCTGGATTGGCATGGGGGTCCTCCAGCGAGGGAGCCCACCAAGACCCCCTTGATCTGGTGGTCAGGGTGGTGAGGTCCTTTCTGCAGGGTGGGTGCCCCAGTGGCCTGGACTGGGAGCACAGGCAGGGTGCTGGGGGGCTCAGGCAGGGTGCTGGGGGGCTCATCCCCCTTCCCAGAGCTCTCTGAAGTTTGTGGCTTGGTGTGACTGATGCCAAATCTTGGGGTCGTCCCACCAGCAACTTTATCTGGAGAAGGAGTAAATATGGGGCCCGGTATCTGGTGGGCTATCAATGGCCACAGCAACTGCTTGAGCTGGCCAGGAGCTGCACCCCCTCCTGGGGGGGACACGTGGGAGTCCCCCAGAACACGGTCCCAAGCCACCTGCCCATCCGCCAGGCAAGGTGGGCTGCTTGCCACCCCTCCACGGCTCTGCCCTGCCCCAAGTTCGCCCCATCCCCGCAGAGCCACCGCGGCAGAGCCCCCATGCCCGAGGACAGAGGTGGCTGCTGCGTGTGCTCTGCCATCAGGGGGTCGCCTTGTTCCTGCCCCTCGGGGGGTCACAGCCCCCTGTTTGCAGTATGCCATCCCTGTGCTGTCCCCGGCCTGGGGATGCTGGCTCAGGGGGGGCCAGGGGGGCGATGGGGTGATGCCAGGCTCCGTCTCGGGATGGGTGCAGGCAGCACCCCAGCCTGGCACAGGCTGCCTCTGGGAGCAGAGCTGGATACCGCAGAGCTGGGTGTCCCCCCGTAAATCCCCGCAGGCAAAGCCCAGGGAGCTGCGGCAGTGTCCCCCCCATGCCCCCAGGGACCGGGGACCCCCTCATGCCAGCCTGTCCCCCCCCATGCCACCTCCCTGGGCAGGCGGCAGGCCCCGGCGAGCGGTACCGGAGGGGGAGCTGGGGGGCACCCCGGCCGGGGCGGGC